TCGTTGACATGGCAACCGCAACAGGCACGTGACCAGAGGGATTCTCCAAGTGAGTAGGCACGCGGATCGTCGAACCACTGACCGAAAGATCCGCGGGGACCGCAGACGGGATATCGACGCAGACGCAGTCGAGACGAGCGGTAGAGACTATCCTCGGACCAGGGCAAGCACGTCGCGTATCCTGCGGCAGATGCAGTTCAGTCCATCCTCCAAAGTAATCGTTCCATTCTCGAGAGAAGGCAGAGTCCTCCGACTGGCAGCCCCTGTCTCAAGATTGAATTGGCCCTCGCCGCCAAGGGCGAAAGTGAAGTCACCGCGCGGGATGCGAGAAGCAGCAGAGGATGGAAGTGGAGCGGCGCGCAACAGAGACAACAACGATCGCCAACAATCCCCGCGTCGACTTTCGGCGCCCCCCATCCTAGCAGATACGACGCCTTGCCAGAAATCAAAGACTTCAGAATGAAGCCTAGATACATGCCCACCTGCGCGGCACTGATACAAATCGAGACCCCACGCTCAGGAGTGCAATCAGGGTGGGCATCCAGGAGAAACTTGCGCGGACGGAACTCCTTCTTGAGAGCGACAACACCCCGGGATGCACGCTATCTGGCGCCTCTTAAGCAGCCCCGTAAATATGCGCCAGCGAGAGCAGACTGACCTTTCATGCGGTCAACGCTTCCTCACAACCCTCGCGCATACCGCGCGATGACGGAGAGAGGTTTCTTCGGCAGGACGGGGAAGGACAGCGCCGCCCCGATCTTCCCAGGAACGAGCTGCGCCTCGCTAGATTGGCCCGCGCGCAGGAGCGAGGCGACGTCCTGCGCGGGCCACCCAGCCCCAGGCGGGGCACCCTCAGATGTAAGAGACACAAAGCTGTCAACGGCTCAACTGGCCCGTCACCTTATCCACAATCGACTGATGCTTGCCGCCGGGGCCGATTTGGGTGAAGTGGCGCGCGAAATGGAGACGTGGTCGAGCTGCGCCGCATCTCCCGACGCTGCCGACGCGAAGCTGAAACCGTTGCTGACCGAAGACCCAATTGACCAATCTTTCCGGAGAGGGAGACGACTTCACAACTTCCTCGAGCTCGCCGCGGGCCTTGCCCGAGTCTGTCAACTGCTTATTCGTCTCAGCATCACCGAGAGGCTTCAAACTGAACGTCTTGGGGCCCTTCGGTGTCTGGAACTCGAAACCGTCGGGAAAGCGTTTCAGAAACGTCACCAGGGTGCGCTCTGCCGCGTCAGCCGAAGGGAACGCCACAATGACGTTCAAAGTTCTGGGCTGTCACATTCATGGCCTGCTTCGCTTCTTCACCAGCGCAAGCAGAGATAATGGCAACGCCAACATCATGAAGAACCTTGCGAATGAACCCTTCTCCGGAACCAACCACGATGGCGTTGGACAAGATATCTGAATTTCCACCGCGGGAGGAACGCGACCCACGGAACTTCTTGAACGGGCCTTCGGAAGCCTGGGAAGACCGAGAACCGATACTAGACATGCTTCAAAATTTGTGAGTCTCAGCCTCGGTCTCAGCATTGTTGTGCTCCTGCTGCTTCATGCCCTTCTGCGTGGCATCAATGGAAACACGTTCAATAATCTGAGCCGACACCATGGCGAAGGCGTCGTTCATCTTAGTCACCTGAGCGGCTCACTCCTTGATCGCAGCATCGGTGGCCAAGGGAAAGATGGCCACGCAACCCCGACCGCAGGTGATCCGAGCGGGGAAGGGGTGGGCCAGCAAGCAGGGCAGAGCAAGCAGGCACTTGTGCGTGCACTTCGAGCTCCTCGTCGGCCGCCAGGGACACACGTTCAACCTTGAGCCAAAATGGGTACGGATGACGACAATGATGTTTATGATGACGATGGTGATCGTGATGACGGTGATGATGCTGCTGATGATGCTGCTGATGATGCTGGTGCTGATGATGCTGCTGATGGCGTTCATGAGCATGACGATGGTGCTTGGTTTGTGGAGATGGCGGCGAGGATTGTGATGGCTACTTCTCATCATGGTGGTGACGGCGATGGCCTGGCCGTGGTTACAATGGTCGCGATTGTCGCGGCCGCGATGGCGAGCGATGGCGGGCAGGACGCTGACACATACGGTGTGGTAATCCTTAATATGATGCGCCCCCCGTGGTGGATCAGTCAGAAAGGGCGCGCGGACGCACCCGCGCCCGAATGAGCCACCGCCAACTTATCTTGGCAACCCACCTCCTCCTTCTTCCCCTCCGCGTCCTCCTCCTCCTCCTCGTCCTCCTCTTCCTCTTCCTCTTCCTCATCCTCCTCCGCCTCCCCCCCCCCTCCTCCCCAGTCGAGCTCTCTGCATGGCCCTCCTAGTTGAGGGAGACGAGGAGAACGACCATCCCACCGATTGCACCCACCAGCAGCGCGTAAGCGATGCTGCATGAGGCACGCGGCATACACAATTACGAATTGATACGCATGCGGGGTTTCGAACACGCCATCCGCATTGCCCGATAGAGGCCCCGTGCTTTGTGCCTGCTTTCCGAGCATCAATTCTATGGTCTGCTTGGGACCCAAACTCCAGCCCCTTCGTGGCTCACCTCGGCTGTCGCTTCCCATGGGGGCGGCACCCGTCCGACAGTTGCGAGCGGTGACTCGAGCCTTCGAGGAAGACCGACTCGAACAGATTCTCCTCCGGATCCTTTTGTCAGCTCCACTGGAAGAGCCGAGAACGGAGGGGACTTCAGCTTCACTCTACGGGGCGCGTGGAAAAAAGGATACGCTCCCCTCCTCTCACCTGTCATTGCGCGCGTCTTCCTGCACCCCCGCCTTGCTGTCCCTCCGTCCGTCCGTCTCTCTCCCCAGCTCTCTGAGCCGCGGCGCTTAGAGCTTCGTAGCTCTGGGAGGCGTCGGCCACCGCCGCGCACTTTGTTGTCGGTGGCCCTGGGGAGATTTGGGATGAGGGGCACCTTAACGCGGGGACTGGCCCATGGTGTGTGTGTGTGGGGGGGCGAACATCGACTTGGACCCGGCGATGCATCCCGATAGAGCGGCGATGGGCCCCCGATGGCGAAAAAGCATGTTCCTGGGCGGTGTGGGCTATCGGACCCTTCTCGGAGATGAATGGGCGATTGGGGGTCGATGCGTCCCCCCCTGAGCCTATCCCCCCCAACGGTGTTCCTGATGGAGGGTTGGGCCGACACGCGCCCCCAGGTTCCGCAAGGCGTGATGGTACTGGCCCGGACCGTATGGCTGTTGCTCCAATGTGGGGGGGGCCCGTGCTCAGGGGAGAACCCGCAACACCGCTCAAACTGCACTGCGTATCAGATCTTGCAAGGTGGGCCCTTTTTCGAATCCGTGCTTCGGTGCGGATCGTGAGCGCGACGTCTCTTCGTCATCATCGTCATTGTCGGCGGCGTGATCGTGGTGCGTGATCGGGACGTGCTCGCGCGTGCTGCAGAGGAGCTTGATCCTTGGTTTCCATGATAAGCATCTTAACCATCTTGCCCTGCGCCGTTGCTAGACCCACCCCCACATAGGTCCCAACCGTCCTGTGGTGTTGGGTCCTCGTTTTGAAGAGACAGCGCCTCGCGTCTCCTCTTCTTCCTCCTACCCCGCCTCCCTCCTCCCATCTCTGCCTCTGTCAACCGCATGTTTGTCTTTCGGCACACCCAGGGCCCCGTAGGTACCTCCACCGAAGGCCTCAGAAGCATGGTCCACATGGCGGCGCCGCCCCACTTTGGCGCACCCCTCACATCCTTCGTAGCCCCACAGGGAGCTCCACCGAAGACCCCCGTGGCAGAGTCCTCTGGCGGCGCCGCCCCATTGTGGCGCACCCCTCGCGCGGTTCGCGCCCCCACAGGGAGCTCCACCGAAGGCCCCATTAGCAAGGCCCACATGGCGGCGCAACCCATTGTGACGCACCCCTCACACGGTTCGTGGCTCGAAGATAAGCAGAAGGCCCCAGTGACAGGGTCCTCTGGCGGCGCCGCCCCAATCTGGCGTACCCCTCACGCGGTTTGTGGCCCCGCAGGGAACTCCACCGAAGGCGCCAACGGCAAGGTGCACAAAGCGTCGCCGCCCCAGTTTGGCGCACCCCTCACACGGTTCGTGGCCCCACATGGAGCTCCACCGAAGGCCCCGGTAGCAAGGTCCTCTGGCGGCGCCGCCCCACTTTGGCTCACCCTCACACGGTTCGTGGCCCCATAGGGAGCTCCACCGAAGGCCCCAGACCCCTCACACGGTTCGCGGCCCCATGGGGAGCTCCACCGAAAGCTTTACTGGCTGAGTTCGGGCGGCGGTGCCGCCCCATTTTGGCGCACCCCTCAAACGGTTCGTGGCCCACAAGGAGCTCCACCAAAAGCAGTCCCATAACCCTGTACTCACAACTGCATGCGGTCGGTTGGGTCCTTCGCCACGATAATTTGTTGCCCCCTCCCCTCGCCGTCATCGTCGTCGTTGTCGTCGTCGTCTTCGTCGTCCTCTCCCTCCTCCTCCTCTCTCCTCCCTCCTCCTCCTCCTCCTCCGCCTCCTCCTCCTCCTCCTCCTCCTTTCCTCCTCTTCCTCCTCCTCCTCGTCCTCTCTTCCTCCTCCTCCTCCTCCTCCTCCTCCTCCTTCTCCTCGTCCTCCCCCTCCTCGTCCTCCTCCTCGTCCTCGGGCCTCCTCCTCCTCCTCCTCCTTCTCCTCCTCTTCATCATCATCTTCTTCTTCTTCTTCTTTTCGTTTTCTCCTCCTCCACCTCCTCCTCCACGTCTTCCTCCTCATGCTCCTTCTCCTGCTCCTGCTCCTTCTCCTGCTCCTGCTCCTGCACCTGCACCTGCTCCTTTTCCTCCTTTTCCTCCTTCTCCTCCTTCTTCTCCTCCTCCTCTCGTCCTCCTCTTCCTCCTCTTCCTCCTCCTCCTCCTCCTCCTCCAGCTCCTCCTCCTCCTCCTCCTCCTCCTCCTCCTCCTCCTCTACCTCCTCCTTCTCCTCCTCCTCTTTGGCCTCCTCCCCCTCGTCGTCGTCAGCCGAGAGGCGACCGCGGGGCCGACCTGGAGGTGCCGTCGTCGCCGCCGCACTCGGCGCACCGCAACGCATCGGGTTCCTGGCGGCCCCAACGCCCCGCCGCCACCGCAGCCGTAGCTGGTCGCCGGACGCTCGTGGCCAGTCGCCAGTCGTCGTCCGCTGGTCTTCGACGTCGTCGTCGTCGTCGTCGTCGTCGTCGTCGTCGTCGTCCGCTGGTTATCGTCGCCGGTCGTCGTCGTCCTCGTCGTCGTCGTCCGCTGGGCATCGTCGTCATACGTCGACGTCCTCGTCGTCGCCTGCTGGTCATCGTCGACGGTCGTCGATGTCCTCGTCGTCGTCCGCTGGTCGCTGTCGTCGGTTGCGCCCTACGTTGCGCTCCTCGTCGGACCGCGGTGCCCGCCGTGCCCGTCGCGGCCGGGAGCAGGGCGCAGAGGAGAGGCCGCCGTCGCCGCTGCCGCTCCTCCCGCGCCGCGTGCGCCCGTCCTGGGCCCACTATCGGTGTGTGTGTGTGTGTGCGCGTGTGCGTGTCTCGTCGCTCTTCGCACTGCGCCTCCACTTCGCTGGGCTTTGCCCCTTCTCGTTGACCCTCGCTGCCCACGCCCGTGTGTGACTATGGCATGGACGATTGTACTTGAGTACTTGCACGCTCTGAACGGCCCGCCGCGCGCGCCCGCCCGTTCGATGACTTTCTCCGCCTCGACGCTGCGCACGAGGCCGCGGACGCCAAACAATGCGTGCGTGTGTGTAGATATGTGTGTGCGTGTGTGTGTGTGTGTGTGGTGTGTGTGTGTGTTGTGTGTGTGTGTGCATGCGCGTGTGTGTGTGTGTGTGTGTGTGTGTGTGTGTGTGTGTGTGTGTGTGTGTGTGTGTGTGTGTGTGTGTGTGTGTGTGTGTGTGTGTGTGTGTGTGCGTGCGTGTGTGTGTGTGTGTGTGTGTGTGGGTTGTGTGTGCGTGTGTCCGTAACCTTTTGGCTCAAAGCCTTTTGGCTCAAACCCTTTGGATCAAGGTCCGCCGAACCAGCCGCGCGCTCGGGGCCCGGGGTCGGCCCTGACCCCTGGCGCGCCTGACGGGCTCTGGGAAAAAAAAGGGGTGCCTCTCCAAATGTATCCTTCCTTCCAACGCCCGCCCCCGCTCGCCGGCTTCGTCCTCCAAGGCTCTGCGCCGACATTGCCGCCGCCGCTGGGGCCGTCCTGGTGCCAGGCTTCCCGCCATCGGCAGGAGGCCGGCGTCGGCGGCCACTGGGCCCCGTGCTCGCCGTGGTCGCAATTGCTGCTGTCGCCGCGGCCGCTTCGCGCGGGCCGCCAGCGGCGGCTGCCCTGGCTGGCGTCGCGGCCGCCTTTGCCGTCGTCCCAGCGCACGGTGGGCTTGCGGTGGCCGCCGCGGTTGCCGCCGCCGCCGCTGCTGCCGCTGCTGCCTGGGCCTCGCCGGCGGTGGCGGCAGCTGATGGCGCGCTGGCCGGCGTTGCGGCGCTCCCCGGCGCGGAGGACGTGGGGAAGTACGTGGAGAGAAGCCGTGGGGAAAGACGGAACTGCATCAGCGCCCTTCTCAGCACAGCCGGGATCGCCGGCGCCACTGGCCCCGCCGGCGCAGCCGAGAGCGTCGATGACTCGATGTCGGCACCCTCGTCGGCACAGCCCAGGTCACCAGCGCCATCTTCCTCGCCGACGCAGCCGAAAGCGTCGGCGACAGCATCCTCGCCGCAGTCATGATCGCCGACGCCGCCACACTCGCGTTCGCAGCCGAAGGAAACAACGCCAGCATCCTCGCCAACACTGTCTGGATCGCCAGCGGCACGATTTTGGATTCCAGCGCTGGTCCATTACTATAGAAGGGGGTCATGAAGCAAACGTTTAAACACAGATCCAGCCTACCTGTGCATGCGCGGTCTGGCGAAGACGGGTGGTATCAACACGACGCAGAGGAGCGTCGTGGTCTCGAGCGTGTGGCGTCGACGCACGCCGCGCACGACGACCCTGATATCCTTGCTCTGCAGCCGTCGCTTCTGTTTCACGGTTAGGAAGCTGGGCGAAGGCTGCTAAAACCGTGGCTGCTAAAACGGCCCTCCCGGAAGGAAAAAACAACTTCCCGGAATGAGGCGCGGCACGCGAAACAGTCAACGGGCTTCTTCCCGGAAGGACGAAGACAACTTCCTGGAGGTCGATTTTAGCAGCCACGGATTTAGCAGCCCTGGCCCGGCTTCCGAACGGTGTTGCACAAACGCGCAAAACACCGCCCAAATGAGCGCTAGCTGGCGCCCGTCCCACCCTCATGCACCATTCCCGTCCTCGCCCCAACCCCCTCCCTTTCGCCTCATCTGCCTCGTGCCCATCCGATTCCCCCCCTCCTCATCATGCCCCTCCTCCTCTTCCTCGTCATTATCCTGTCCCCTTCTGCCACTGCGCAGCGTTCCTCCTCGCCCTCCTCCGCCGGACATGCCCCCTCCCACCTGCGCCCTCGCAATCCCCCATCCCCTACGGCCATGCGCAATTCATCCCACCTCCCTCTGCCCCCCCCCCCCTTCCCTCGTCCTCGTGATGCTGGCACCGATGCTGCAATTCCTCCTGGGTCCATTTCCCCCCTCCCCTCCCCTAATTGGCTGGTTCCCTGTGTTCGGATATCGAACGGGCGGTGCACTGCTAATGCGGGCGCGCGGCCCCATCACTTGCCTTTCTTGGAGCAAGGAGGGAAGACAAGGTGGTGGGACGACGGATGGTGGAGCAGGGATACAAAGAGAAGGAGAAGAAGGATGAGGAGGAGGAGGAGGAGGAGGATGAGCGAGGAATGAGGGTGAGGAGGAAAGGGGCGTTCCCCCGCCGGACCCGGCCGCCTTCGACCCCATTCAGGGGGTAGCGAAAAGGAGAAGGGAACAAGGAGGAGGACGACGACGGAAAGCAAATGTCAGCGGTCCGCAGATATACCACATGATTGCGATTTGGGTGGGCGCGCTTTCTTCGAGGCATTTCAATCCTGACCCCTACTGACTTCACGACTTCCTCCCAACTGTGTAAACACCGTGCTCTCTGTACCACCTCCTATACAACTGCCTCACAACAGAAGGGGCAGTGGATTCCAACCACGATCCCCAACAGCGCGGCTGAGCGTATTGGCGCCAGCATCCTCGTCTGCACAGCCCGGATCGCTGAAACCAGCATCCCCGTCAGCGCCATCGAGTGCATCGACGCCCGCATCCTTGCCACCGCTGCCAGGGCCCCCGAGGCCCTCACCCTCGCAAGCTTAGTCGAAACCATCGAGCCCATCATCGATGATGGCATCTTCGTCAGCACAGCCTGGGTCACAAACGCCAACATCCGCGTCATCGCAAGCCGAGCCGCCTCCTGCAGCCGTGGGGCCGCCCCGCGCTGCAGCGAACGCCTGCGAGCGGCATGACTGGCTCGACGTCGACGCTCACCCGGCAGAATTGACAGATCGCGCGGAGGGCCGTCCTCCGCGCGACTCGCCATGCCGCCCAGCAGGAGGACCCCCTGGCCACGCTCCAGCTGCCGTAGCCGCAGCGGGCCAGGCCCGAGCCAGGTTGGGGCCTCTTCCTCCTCCTCCTCCTCCTCCTCCTCCTCCTCCTCCTCCTCCTCCTCCTCCTCCTCCTCCTCCTCCTCGTCGCGCCCCAGCGCTCCCCCCTGCTCACAGCCCAACGGATACGCCCAGGCCACCACCTCCTGGCTGTGCGGCTGCCCCGCGCATGAGATGGAACGCCTTCTGACCCCCCCCCCGAGCAGGAGGAGGAGGAGGAGGAGGAGGAAGCCCATTTGGCCTCTGGCGATCTGGGCCTGCGACCGATCGCTCGGTCAGGGTCGATCGGCGCCTGCCGCCCGATCGATCCCGCAGAAGGCCGATCGCGAGGCCGGGCTCAGCGCGCCGCGGATCGGCGATTGCCGCCGCCGCTGCCGCGCCCTGGCCCCCCCGCCTGGCGGCTGCTGCGCGCCCTCGGCGCGCCCAGGAGAGGCCCGACGCCCGAGCCCGCCTGGCACAGGCGGCAGAGGGAGCGCCGGGCGTCGGCGCGGGCCCTCCTGCGCGTCGTGAGGGCGGCCGACATCCTGGCCAGCCACCATTCCGCGCAGCAGCACCAGTGCAACCAGAAGAATGAGCTGCAGGACTTCGAGACCAGCGAGATGGCGATCAACACGAAGTCTCACGGCCATCCAGTGGGTGCCAAGCCGTGGCCATGGAGGTCAGGTACACCAGCAGCTGGATCCTCGTACCGCCGACACCATGGAGGGCATGGACAACAGCAGCCACGGCACCAGCACCAGCACAACCAGCACCACCACACCTCCCACCACGACGAGGAGCGACAGCAGCACAATGACGCCCAGCATCAGCAGCAGTACAAGTACGACTACACGACGCCGAGAACGAAGCGGGCCCACTCAAGAAGACGCCACCAGGCCCCCGAAGACGCCACCAACGACCACCGACAGTTACCAAAGCTGACGAAACTTCAGTTGGAGGTCACAGAAAAGGTAATGCCCGCCCTGCTCTCGGACGCCAAGGGACACGAAAGCTTTTCTCTTCCTCCCGACGACCCAGACATACGTCGGGTTTGGCACGCCACCAAGGTGGCGCGGATGGCACGTCTCGCCGACCAAGTCCAAGGAGCATGGCAAGCCCAAGTCGACCCGACCCGCTTGATCGAGGAGCTAGCCATAGTCAAGACCATGATACACATGCTGGACACTCCGACGGCGCGCATTGCACAATACAGATCCCAAGTGGAGTCACGGATACAGAGACAGCAGACCGTCGAGAGCCAGCTCAAAGACCTCAATAAGGAGCACGACGAAATCAAGGGCGAGATTGCATCCCTCAAGGCACTCATCTCCGAGGCCAAGCAGTATCGAGAACACGCCGAACTTTACGAAGACAGCTGTGACGGGGATGGTGAAGATGACGTGCGACAACGCATCAGGGGCAAGACACCACATCCCGAGAGAAGACAGCGAACACCAGTCCGACAACCGGTATATGAGCCAGCGCATGCTTCGACCACCAACGACAACAGCGACCTGCGGAAACTCATTGACGTGCTGACTAGGAGAGTGGACGAGCAACAGCGTAACCACGGAA